CCAGAGATGGGTCGCGGCTGGAAGGGGATCAGCTGCGTAAAAACTAGCTGGATAAGTTGGCGGTTCATTCCGCTGTGGCGACCCCCGATTAATAATGGGACTAAGCCGACAAGAAAATGAATGAATGAATTATTATTATTATTATTATTATTATTATTATTATTATTATTATTATTATTATTATTATCATTATTATCATTATTATTATTATTATTATCATTAGATTGTTTGTTTGTTTATTTGTTATTTTGTTTTGTTTTGTATATGAATTTAGTTAAAATGTAAATAATTATTGAAAAATATTATATTATTATTATTATTTTATTTGTTTGTTTATTTATTTTATGTATGAATTTACATAAAAATGTAAATAATTAATAAAAATATAAATAGATTATTAATACTGTTATTAGTAATAATAATATTATTATTAGTTTGTTTATTTGTTTGTTTGTTTAGTTCTTTTTTATGTATGAATTTAGATAAAACTGTAAATGATTAATACAATTAAATATATTATAATAATTATTATTATTATTAGTTTGTTTGTTTTGTTTGTTTAATATATGAATTTAGTTTTAAAAAGTAAATAATTAATGAAAAATAATAATAATATACATTATGATTATTATTTGATTGTTTATTTTTTATTTTATATATGAACTTAAATTAAGTATTTAAACGATTTATGAATAGATACATTATATATAATGTTAAACAAAAAGTGCAGACAATTTAATTTATAATAAACCACTGGAACTGCATATAGTCAAATAAACACCTAAACTATCTAGGATTTATTGTCAAAAAAGATGACATTATGATATTTGTTTGTTTGTTTATTTGTTTGATTAATAAAATAAGATAAAAAGTTTTTAAATTATAGAGCTTATTTAAGCTTTAAAATAACGCTTATTAGAACAAGAGTAGACATTTTATCTTCTAATAAGAAACTGAAATCTAAAACTTGATCTCGTGTGTTGGTCTCTAATTTATGCATTCTAATTATTCAAGTACTCTTTAAAAACACATTATATAGAAATATGAATAAATCACACCAGCATATTCTTTAATAGAGTCCATATCTTTATGTTAACTGTATTCAAAGCCGATCTCTTATCTCAGATTAGCTGTTCTGTCTATAAGGCAAAAAGCAGATATTATCCACACTAATAAAGACACTCATTGAAATGTCTAAAACTCGCAGTGTGTGTGGCTTTCAGATCAGCTGCTAATTAGGAGATGCAATGACAACAATATTTGTGTGTGTGTGGCTCTTGAATCGCAGTGTTAATCATCTGTCTAAAGTGATTAGTTTCCTAATAGAATAGTCCAAACTAGCTGTACCTTTACAGGTCACTTGGGCTAAATGGCAGGAGAAACAGTAGTCTGAACAGCAATCCTGAGCAAGACCATATGCTGCAAGCTGAAACACTACATTTTAAGCTTTCTGTCAAGTTTTTGTTGTTTTAGTCTAATATAAAGAAAACATCCAAAATATAAAGTTATTAGTATTTCAAATTATTAATACGAATTGACTCACTTTTTATTTATTTTCATTTTTTTATTTTAATATAATTTTATTTATTTTTAATTTATTTTTAAGAATATTATTACTATATATAAACATGAATACATTGTATTTAATACATTTATTTTATTTTAATGCAGATAAATCCCTTGACAATGGAATATTTTTATATTGAGGTTTAGTGACTTTTTCTAGAACACTGCACCTGTTGATTTTTGGCTTTCTGTAAAGTGTTTTCTTTTTATTTCGACTAATGCAAAAAAATATATATAATATAAAATAGAAATATAAATTCAAAAACAGCTATTTTATTTTATTTATAGCATTTATTTTATTTAGTTTTATTTTTAGTTTAATTCTGTTTTATTTTAAAAGCAAAAAAAAACATACATTTAGGTTTTTTTTAAAAACAAAAATTTCTAATGGAAAGAAAATATAATATAAAATATAAATAAAGTCAAAAACAGCTATTTTATTTTGTTTTATTGTAAAATCAACATTTTTATAGTGTTTTTTGTTTTTGTTTTGTTTTTTGTCAAAGGAAAACATCCAAAAATCAAGTGAATGACATTTTAATAAAATGTTATTTTAAGCATTTTAATGACAGATAAAAACCCTAAAAAACCCTAACATGTTGTTATTTTTCTTCAGACTAATGGAAAGAAAATATAAAATATAACATAAAATATAAATATAAAGTCAAAAACAGCTATTCTATTTCATTTTAATAATAGCATTTATTTTATTTCATTTTATTTTATTAACAACAGAAAAAAGCTACATATAGGCTTTTTATGAAGTGTTTTTTAGTCTAAAGAAAACATCCAAAAATAAAGTAAAAAATAAAATTTTATTTATTATATTTTTATTTGCTACATTTTATTTTAAGCATTTTAATGGCAGATTAAACCCTTAGCAATGTTGTTGTTTTTATTTATTTATATCTTGAAGTTTAGTGACTTTTTCTATGACATTTTCAATATTAATAGCATTTAGTGTATTTTATTTTATTTTTAAGCATTTTAACAATGTTGTTGTTTGTTTTTTGTCTTTAAGTTTGGTAATTTCTTTTCTAAAACACTGAATCTGTCGATTTTAGGCTTTCTGTCAAGTCTTGTTATTTTTCTTCTAATGGAAGGATATATAAATATAAAGTCGAAAACAGCTTTATTTTTATTTTACTTTATGTATTTATTCTTTTATCTTAAAATTTGACAACAACATTTCTTTTAATTTAATTTTTATAGAAAGCTGTATACATATAGGTTATAGGGTTGTCTGTTGTACTCTGGGTCATTTTTAGGCAGCAAGCTATAAAACCACTATTACACCAGAAAAACTATTGGCTGGGTCAGTTCACATTTCTGTGTGGAGTTTGCATGTTCTCCCTGTGTTGGTGTGGGTTTCCTCTGGGTGCTCCGATTTGCCCCACAGTGCAAAGACATGCGGTGTACTTTATGTGTGTGAATAAGTGTGTATAGTGTACAGCTGAAAAGGCCTCTGCTGTGTAAAACATGTGCTAGATAAGTTGGCGGTTCATTCCACTGTGGTGAACCCTGATGAATAAAGGGGTTAAACCGAAGGAAAACGAATGAGGAAATGAAAAAAAAACTACAGGCACACACACACATGCAACCCCCCACATGTGTGTGAACGGTGTGTGTCTCTACAGCATGTTTTGTTGAAAGGCCAGTGATTAATGAAGGCAGAGCAGAGTTTGGGTATGGAGGAATGATCAATCTTAATGAGCTCTCCTGCGGATCATCTGCAGGAGGTGTGATGTACAGTTGAAGTCAGAATTATAAGCCCTCCTTTAAGTTTATTTTATTTTCATTTTTTAAATATTTCCCAAATGATGTTTAACAGAGCAATGAAATTTTCACAGTATGTCTGCTAATATTTTTTCTTCAGGAGAAAGCCTTTTTTGTTTTATTATGTATCTAGAATAAAATAAGTTTTTAATTTTAAAAATCATTTTTAAGGTCAAAATTATCAGCCCTTTTGAGCTATATTTTTATATACAATGATTTGCGTAATAACCCTAACTTGCCTAATTACCTAGTTAAGCCTTTAACCCTTTACAGGCATCATAACCACCTGCTTGACCTTTTATCCATGGTGTAGGTTATCTTTATTTTTTTTAAATTGCTTATTACTATTTATAAGAGTTGTGTCAGTATTATTCAATACAAAATGTGGCCCAAAAAATATTTTCAAGGAGTGCACCTTAAAGAGTTAAATGTCACTTTGAGCTAGCCACTTGTCACTAGTAACCTGAAAATAGTCAAATATTAAGTAACTTTTTAAAACAATGGTCCATTAGTTAATGTAAGTTAATCTATTTATTAACATTAACAAACAATCAGTAATACATTTATTATGTCTTTTTTCATCTTTGTCATTTATTCATCATTATAGTCATTTAAGGTAAACAACGTTAGTTCATGTTAACTTACAGTGGATTAACTAATGTTAACAAGCACAACTAAAGATTTTAATAATGGATTAGTCAATGTTGAACTGTGTTTAATAAATGCTGTCCCTAATTGTTCCTAATTAGTTAATGTTAGTATATACATTAACTAACACTTATGCCGAGTTCAGACTGCATGATTTTGAAAGTATTCGTGTCACAGATGTTTTCACACTGCATGACTATCTGGGCTAGCGTTTCATCGCTGCTTTGTTTACACTGCAAGATGGATCGGCGACAGGGGCATTCACATTGCATGACTTTACTATAGGAAGAATCGCCGACAAGTTCGTCCAAACTACATCTCACAGCCAAAAACACGTAGTGTATCTTTTGTTATTAAATACATAATGAGAAAGCAGCCTTTAATGGGGTTGAACATGTACATGTTTGCTCACCTGGGTTTAAAGGGAATTAGCCATTTCTCCTCAACGTTGATAATAAACTAATTTCTTTCTGTATGAAATGTCAAACAGACACGGTTGCTGCTGAGTCCTGTCAAACCTCCACTAGCTTTTCCTCCATTTCGTGGGTCCAAATAAACCGAAAAAGAGCACTTTTAACTTCTCCGCCAGCCTCCCGCTGGCCTGCAGCAGGTATACACACACGCACGCAAGTGAAAGCTGCTCTCTCATTGGCTGTAGGCGATCGCCGATGTTATTTTCAGTCAAAACTTAATTCACACGGCATGATTTGAATCGCCGACAGCTCCAGATATTCAGCACGCCGAATATCTCACAGGCATCGGCGACTCATCGGCGATTCTCTCAGATTGCGTCTTTGAAAGTTCATACTGTGTGATTGTCACTCACGTGCACGAGCAGCGATTTGCCTGTGATTTCAGGCATTTGTCGGCGATTTCTCAAAACCTGTAGGCGAGCCAAAATCGGGGCTAAAATCACGCAGTCTGAACTAGGCATAAGTAATGGACCGTTATTCTGAAGTGTTACCAACTATGTACTGTCATCATGGCAAAGATCAAATAAATCAGCTATTAGAAATGAGTACTGAAAAAAGTGTTGCATGCAGAACTGTTGCAAACAATGTATTTGTGTTGAATTTAAACAAACAAATTAAGTTTAATAATGTTCAACTTAATTTGTTTGTTTAAATTCAGCCAAAATAAATTGTTTACAACCACTTAATTTTAAAAAAAATCCAAGGAGTCATCTTTGAATATTTTTTTTCAGTGTATTATGTTTACAAATTAGTTGAAAAAATCTCTCTGTTAAAGAGAAATTGGGAAAATAAATATACAGGGGGGCTATTAATTCAGAGGGTTTAATAATTCTGACTTCAACTGTATGGCCTAGTGAGATGCTGCATTTCACACTGGCCTCCACTCAATATACATCGCAATGGAGGAATTATGAGTTACTTGCATTTAGAAATGGCGATAACAAGCTCTGGATTATTGGAGGATTTGGTTTGGGATTGTCTGGGGTCTTTATTGTGGTAACTATAATATAGGACATGGATGACGCGAGACTAAATCCTTTGGTAATCTACTTTGTGGAGGGCTGTTTGGGAGGGAAAATGGAGTAGTTTAATGAAAAAGAGGAAATTTAGTCCAGTAAAAAAAGTACAAGGTCTTTCAGTATCTCTTGATTTTTTTTGTTTGTTTGTTTGGCCTTTTGTGTTGTGGATATTTGTATTGACTACTAATAATAATAATAATAATAATAATAATACAAATTAAAAACCTGAAAAATGTTAAGAGATAGGCGCTGCGGTGGAGCAATGGGTAACGCTGTCGCCTCACAGCAAGATGGTCGCTGGTTCAAGCCTCGGCTGGGTCAGTTGGCATTTCTGTGTGGAGTTTGCATATTTCCTCTGGGCGCTTCGGTTTAATCCACAAGTCCAAAGGCATGCAGTACAGGTGAGTTTAATAAACTAAATTGGCCATAGTGTATAATTATCAATGAGTGTGTATGGATGTTTCCTAGTAATGGGATACAGCTGGAAGGGCATCCGCTGCGTAAAACAAATGCCGTTCAATTCCATTGTGAAAACAAATTCCATTGTGGCACCCCTGATTAATAAAGGGAGTAAGTCGAAAGAAAATGAATGAATGAATGAATGTTAGGAAATATCATATCTAAAACTGTATCATAAAAACGTTTTTATTAGATTAAATGTTAGTAAATTTTTTGTCAATGTTTTTTAGTATAAATAATTATGATTATGATTTCTGTATTTTAATTAAAATATTAAATTGTATCAAAAAATTTGCATCACATGAATATATTACAAAAAAGGTAAAAAAAATTAACAAAAAACTATTGCAAACATTTGACTTGCAGCTTTCTTTTTTCTTAGCATTTTCTTAATCGCATTTCTAAAATCCACACTATAGATAAATATAAATAAGAAATTATGATTAATACTCACAGCCATTTCACAGTAACACTGGTTTTACAGCATTTTTAAATAAAAAAAGATTTCGTGAGAGTTTTATTTTGAAAACATAATGACAATTATTGCAATCTTTTATCTTGCAGTCAAATTTCACAGTAATACTGTTTTTACTGTATTAAAAATTTATTTTGAAGTCACTTTTAATAACAGCTATTCATAAACTTTTAACTTGTAGTTTGAATTTCTTTCTTTTTATAACATCATTTTTTTTATCACGTGAAAATATATATACATACAGGATATATACAAATTATGGTTAAGGTCCACAACCATTTCACATTAATACTGGTTTTACTATCTTTTCTAACATTCAAAATGCTGATTTATTTTGACATTTTAATGACAATTATTCCAAAATTTTGACCTTAAGTTTCCTCTTTTCTATTTTTTTAACCAAATTGTTGGTTTCATGCACATAATTTCATCATTTTTAAAGATGTATTTATTATTTTATTTCTAGAAAAGATGAAATTAGTAAAACAAACCCAAAGATTTCCCTGTGACATCCAGTCAAGAAAACATCTATCCCAGTGGTTCTCAAACTTTTTTCATCAAGTACCACCTCAGAAATAAATTGTCTCTCCAAGTACCACCAAAATGAGCAGTATTGAAATATAGTCGCGTAGTAGGCCCAGTAAAGCAGCTACAACTCTGCACAGTTAAAAAAAACGTGGCAGATTATCTCAGAAATATAGGCTATATGTCATATATGTCGTATTATATACATCATTTTTGTTAAATTTTGAAATGTGTGTAGCATGTGCATGACATATTTCATTCCTCCGTGTGCCACTAGAAGGAAGCCTGCGTACCACTAGTGGTACACGTACCACAGTTTGAGAACCACTGATCTAACCCAACATACTGTATCAAGCCCTTTTCCCATCACATCTCTTTCCTGGAAGATTCAGGAGCTTCACCCACTGATTACCACAAGCCGAAGAATCCAGGTCAGAGAAAAACTGATGCCAAACCACTTCCTTTCATTCTTCACCAGAGTCTGCGCTTTTCTTCCTGCAATCCTCAAAGTCACATTCAGAATATCCAGCTCCACATCACAGCGGCTTCATTAGCATAAGCACCAGAGGGATCTTCCACTCTGGCCAATCAAATCCAGCCTTTCCTTCCTGAGGGAGTGGCAACTCAGGGGTGACTCCGCCCCCTTCCCAGCAGGAAGTACAGTGTGGAAAGGGAGGATGGGCTCATTATACAGCAGTGCTTTTTTTCCAGGACAGAAACACGATCATTCCTTGGGATTCTGGCTGTGTTTCAACAACACGCACACACACCCATGCTGTTCGTGTCCCAATCGATTATATTGGGTGTGTTGGCTGAGCAGGAAGTGTTTTGTCAGGGAGTTGTAATGCTGGAGAATTAATTGGCGTGTGGTGAATATGGGCTGGAGAAAATGAACAGCGAGGAGACTTTTATTTGCTATTTATACAGTGGAAAGTTAATTAATAGGATGGAGTAGAAGTGATGTTACGGTGGCTCAGTGGTTAGCACTGTCGCCTCCAGCAAGAAGGTTGCAGGTTTGAGTGCTGGCTGGGCCAGTTGGCATTTCTATATCCAAAGACATGCGGTACAGGTAAATTGGGTAGGCTAAATTGTCCTTAGTGTATGAGTGTGTGTGTGTGTGTGTGTGTGTGTGTGTGTGTGAATGAGTGTGTATGGGTGTTTCTCAGTACTGGGTTGTGGCTGGAAGGGCTTCCGCTGTGTAAAACATATGCTAGATAAGTTGGCGCTTCATTCTGCTGTGACGATCCCTGATTAATAAAGGGACTAAGCCGAAAAGAAAATGGATGAATGAATGGGTTGCAGCTGAAAGGGCATTCGCTGTGTAAAACATGCTGTAATAGTTGGCAGTTCCTTCCGCTGTGGCGACCTCTGAAATAGAGACCAAGCTGAAAGAAAAATGAATGAATAATTGAGTCAAAATAGATTAAAATAAAGAGATGAGGTTAATCAGAAGGAAAGAGGTAACATGGCGTTTACTTAAACATATACTAATTTAGGCTTAGACATGTACTGTAAGTGCATTGTATGTGATATATTATATATTTATATAGGGCAGGGGTGGCGAACCTGTTTGGCATGATGAGCCAAAAAAAAAACTTTATCACTGCAAAGAGCCACACAACAGATGTGCAAACAACAGTATATCTGTCACAATAACTTATACACCTAATTATATAACGCAATAGTTTTCATGGATTTAAATTAGCCTACCTCATTTTACTTGACTCAGTGGGACACCTGACATTCCTTGGTTTCCACAATCTTTTTCAGGTCTGGCTCGTATTCAGTTGTGGCTACTCGTAGTAACTCTTTCACATGTGTGTCAGTAAGAACAGAGCGATGCTTTGATTTCACTAGTTTCAGTGTAAAATCCCATTCAGATAAAAATGTTCTGCCCTCATCTTCGTATTTACGCTTAGCTGTACGCTTTCCTGACTCTGCCATGACGATTGATATTAACGAACTGCACGTCACTCGTGTTGCGCCCCAATCAAATGGGGCTTCAGTGCCAACCCTTGACTGAAGGCGTGTCTGAATGGAAGCGTCAGAAAATAAAATTCAGTCAGCAATAGGCCACTTTCTAGCAGGTGTATTTGCATACAGCGATCTGATTGGCTAACGCGTCCGTAAGCGCTTGAAAAGTTGAGCTACTCCCAGCTTCTGCAGCGAGCAACGTGAAGCCTTGTGTGAATGGGGCATTAGTCAATTGGTTATTATATGTTAAATCGTGCAAGAGGTTGAGCCGCACAAAAGCAGAAAGAGACGCAGAAGCCCCGTGTGAATGGGGCGTTAGTCAATTGGTTAATGTATGTTAAATCGCGCGAGAGGTTGAGCCGCACAAGAGCAGTAAAAGAGCCGCAAGCGGCTCGCGAGCCGCGGGTTCGCCACCCCTGGTATAGGGCTTGGCGATAAAATTGATATTGGTATTTATTTACCAAACACCATTGTCAATATTTATAATAAAAAAGTTTGCAATGTAGTTTCGTATGAAGACTAAAGTTTTATTAAAACTTCAATAAGCAAGTTTTAATAAATAAGCTTAGGGTGTTAGTTTGTCATTTCGAATGGAGGCCCGGGTACAGCATGCACGGCATGCAAAATGGGATGCTCATGTAAAGTAAAAAAACATCTGAACTTTTAAAAATGCCCCGACCACTAGAACTAACCAATCTGCTTTACACTTTGTGTGAAATATACAGATTTCAGTAATAACGGCAGACTAATTACCGCAGACAAACACAAAGCACACGTTCGCGCTTGTCACTTCAGGTCAGAGTAACAACACATGCGAAAATGAGTGCTGTATAGCAGCAGTGATGATATTGTAAATAAAAAACGATGTCGCCAGAGTGGCTTTTTGGTTTCTTTTCTTGTGCATCCCAGCCACTTCACAATTTGTAATGTTGCAGTGTATTTGAATCAGATGGCTGGTTCCTTTACTTGAAAGCTCAGATTTAAGATATATATATATAGTTGAAGACTGAATAATTAGCCCTCCTGTTTTCTTTAATTTTTCCTGCCTGTTTATTAAAATTGTATTAACATATTAATTTTGGTGTACTCATTATTGGACTGTGTTCTTCAGTATTTTTATTAGATTAGGTCTTTTTTACCAGCTTTATCTTTGGTACTGACTAATCTAATGGTCGAGTTTAAACCAGAATTATTAGCTCTCCTGTGTATATTTTTTCTCCTATTTCTATTTAAAGGAGAGAAGATTTTATACTATATTTTTCAAATTATGTTTAACAGAGCAAAGGTTTTTTTTTTACAGTATTTCCTATAATATTTTTGCTTCTGCAGAAAGTTTTATTTGTTTTATTTCAGCTAGAATCAAACCAGTTTTATTTTTTATATATATTTTAATATTTTGTCAGTATTATTAGCCCACTTTTCTATTTTCGACAATCATTATATAATGATTTTCCTTATTACCTATCCTTAACCCAGATTCACTTAATTAAATCTTTAAATTGCACTATAACACAGCCATTAAAAAATAAATATTGCATAAGTGGGCTAATAATAGTGATATCGTATTCATATTTAAAAAAAATAACTAAAACTGCTTTTATTCTAGCTGAAATAAAACAAATAAGATAAAATATTATAGGAAATACTGTGAAAAATTCATTGCT